TTCAACATGTGGTCAGACGCCGACCATGCAGGTTGCATAAGGACACGAAAGAGTGTGTCAGGAGGCGTGCTCATGGCCAACAAATGCTGTCTCACAACATACAGCAAAGGCCAAGGAGTTGTCTCCCTGAGCAGTGGCGAATCCGAGTACTACGGACTTGTTTCTGGAGCATGTCACATGCTTGGAATCGCATCAACAGCAAGAGACTGGGGATTGTTTCCCAGCAAAGAGGTGACAATGGACGCTTCCGCTGGCATCGCCATGGGAAACCGTCGAGGCTTGGGACGAGCTAAACATGTTGACACTCAGTACCACTGGGTACAAGAGCGTACAGCAAAGAAAGAGTTTCGTCTCAAGAAAGAAGGCGCCGACCGAATGTTGGCCGACGTGCTAACGAAAGCTGTCACCGAAGAGAAAATGACTACAGCTATGAAAGGCATGAACTTCCACTACCTGGAAGGTGAGCATGAACTGACTTTGAAAGCGTGAACGGCTTGAGCTAGAGTAGGTACTTCTACAGGACCAAGATGTACTGAAGGGCTATGGGCTAATTCACTAAAAGTGCTAATCCTGACTCGTTTAACATCTCCCAGAAGTTAAACTCGGGAGGCGTGATCAGATGTAGCACCAGTTACATGTACATGACATAGCTTGTATAGATGTATGTTTCACTGCAGCCGTTTGTTCAATCCGTTTGTTCAAGTTGTGGTTTACTTTTGTGTTCATTTCACTACCAGAGCTCACGCTTGGAGTGGAGCTAAAAGTGTGCCTAAGCTTCTACTACAACCTTTGGGACAGTGACTTGGGGTCACAGAGTTTAAGAGCCTAAATTCTCCGTTCATCTTTGGGTGTGTGACCACAGGGAATCTCTAATTTCTTCAGTAGCTGACCTTCGCATTTCTTGCGATGACTGGCAGCAACGCCCGTGCAAAAAAGATCGAGATCGAGAAGAAGATCGGAAGCCGTTGTCGCCCGAAGCGGCATCAACGTTTCGCACGGCGTTGGGAAAGTTAGGTGTTGTAGCTCAGTCGAGTTCTGATCATTGTTGGTTGTGTTCAATGCTGCTCGAGGACAAGCTCAACCAGTTGCAGTTCATGACAGCGATGCGTGCAAGTATCCGTTACATCCGTTCTGTATCCGATCGGAAGTTGAAGTCCAGAAGCTATGAGTACTCAGATGTCCCAAGCATTACGAAGCCGAAAAGTCCACAAATAGTAAGAGTACTTCAGGAGCAGCTATCTTCGTTTGTGATTTCTGTAGCAAGACCAACAGTGGATTGCAGCAGAGTGTAGCCTGTCCTTCAAGCTGGATTTGTTCGAAGGAGCGAAAGAGACTATAGGGATCCAACATGCTGTAGCGCATGTTTTTGGTTGTCAAGTTGAAGAATTGCCAGGTCCGAACTTGCTTACGTATTCGATGGCAGCCCGAAATGTGACTGAGATGTCAGGGTTGTTGAGAAGGTTGAGACACCGATAATCGAATAGTTTTTTTTAGCAAGATGCGGCCTGCAAAGGTGTGATGTCTATCACATTCGTTCGAGGTACCGAGAATTGTGCCGATTTGATGACCAAGGCATTGTCAAGAGCAGTGACATAAGCGATGGAGAGTACCTTTTTGCTTGAGAGTCTTAAGGTCTGTGTCTTTGATGGTCGTCATGATCATTTGTTTTCCAAAGATGTCAATTGGAAGGAGACGCAGCATTATCCCAAGAAGCTTTGCGAGCTAATCCTTAAAGGTTCTAAAACCAAATTAACCGCGTAAGAGTCACGCATTTTTCGAGTCCAGAATGGCGCGTTTTGCAGAAGTCCATAGGACATGAGGTCTTGTCTTGAATTAGGCATGTGATAAGCTAGAGTTTTGATATTTTGCTCTTACCGTCCTAAGGTATGATCTAAAGAGCCTGCTGTGAGCTCAAGGATCCAGCAGAAGTGTCGTTTACCGTGAGGTTTGCTACCCACGTTTTTCGCTGTTCGTTGAACATGCAGGCCATGTAGTGGCTGCTCCCAAAAAGCGCCAATCCTTTGGCCTTTGAAGTAGGTTTCAAAGCTTTGTTCAATCCCTTCCAGGCATCAAATCCATTGGAGTCCTCCACAGAATGAAGCTAACAACCAACCCAAAGTTGCCAAGTCCATGTCAAACTTCTCATTTGGTTTTTCATCAAGTTCCTTCAAGTTCTTCGTGTAAGTCTCATCAACTGCACTCAAATGTTTCTCAAATGCCCATGACCACTCTCTAAGTTTCTTGATTTCTTTTTGTGATTTGTAGTCAGAGATGTTGGGCTTAGCTATCAACTTTTGACCAGCCCGTTGTTGATGACTTCTTGCCTTCAATTCCTTTGTCAGCTGCTGCTGTTGTTGCTAGGTGCTTTTGTCTGCAGGAATATAATATTCTGATCTCCTCCATGTCCACTGCGCACTAATGTCTTTCTGACACAACGTAAGGATGCAGAGTGTTGCTGACAAAATTCATCACAAGTCCAGCTGTTTGGCTTTGCAAAGGCCCCAAATCTGTGGCTCGGAACCGCACCGGGATCCCAGTGACCTAGGGTTTTCTTTCTGGAACTCAAAGAGGGTTACCCTTTTCCTTGCTCCGCTGCCATGCGAACTTTTTTCTGTGAGCGCAAAGGGCTGCAGTGGGTCCACTATACACAGTGATGCTAGTAATGCTTCACATGTGCACTGTAGTCTGTCATGAAACTGCTTTGCAAAAAGAAACATGTTGGAACAGTTGGTGCAGAACCACAACTTTGACCAAATGCTCATGGTTCAGGGTCAGTTGCCATTGCAACTATTTTGCGCTGCTTGTGGTGCGTGCGCTGCACAAGAAACAGATGTGCCAGCAAATCTTTTATTGCAATTATAACATCCTGTTGACACGTGATGTGGTGCAGTGTTTGGGAATAGTGGAGTGTAAATGACAAATGTGCAAATTCATGCTTGGTGTAAATGATGTACTTTCAGGACAAACGAAGCTTTTGAACAACATTTTGTTTGCACATCGACAATCGCTTTTGTTTTTTAAACGTGTTGTGATTTGTTTGCGTTGTTTGTTTCTTGGGATGAGATTAGGGCAGCGAAACAAAATGAACCAACCAAATGATGCATGGCAGTTGTTTTTGTGCATTATTCTTCTCAAGGGATCGGACATGCAAAATGACCCAACCAAGGTGAATGAAACACATTCAATGTCCCAAATCAATCCAATTCATGATTGCAGGTTAATCACAACATTTTGTATAATTTTGTGGCAAGGCGGCTCTTGGCAGATCTTGAAGCAGCAGACCGTCGCCCAACGGATTTTGGCTGTTTGGACAAATTGTGGTGTGTTTGACACCAAAACTCTGCGATTCATGTCAGCAACCGTCGCCATAGTACATTCTCGGCTCATAGCACAGGCTGTGTGTGCTTGCAAGGGAAAAATCCAAGGGCCATGGCGATCATGCGCCATTTCGTTCTTGTTGCCAACTGGCGGCAACAAATTTTTGGAATGTGGTTCAACATTTTTCCATGGCCATGAACGGCATTCTTAGTCTTTTTCTCCATTCACATATGATTCACCTTAAATTCATTAGCATCAGCAAACTTTGGACTTGCTGTGGCAACTCGATAGTTCAAATTTCCAAGGTGCTGATGTTGTGCGTTTCTTTGCTACTTGCAACTTGGCTGGGAATTTGCAAACACGATCAAATATGTTGCACTAGATCGTTGAGAGAGCTCATTTGTTCACGCTCGTTTTTGTGTTCAACTCTCATTCCATTTTCTCACATACACTCTTATCTTATAGTCTTATAGTTTATAACATATCTACGGGAGGAGCGTGGGCGCCGCTGTACTGAGGCGCCCACATTTGTTGGGTCTATGTTTCAGCAGGTTAAAGAGCGAGGTGATGTTGCTGCGTACGGCCGTCATGGCAAAAGGCGGGAAGTGTTATGCAGGTCCTTGCACTTCGGGAAGTGGATATTGCATGTGCACAAAACTGCCCAGCAAGTTTGCATCCTCAATGCATGGAAGTGGACGGTCTGTTTTTTTGTACATGCATCGGATTTACACGCATGGGCCACATGGGTTTCACTCCTGTCCCGGCAGGGGCGCTGGCGGGCCTCGACCAAAGAAGGCCCCACGAGATATCACCTGGGTCCATGTTCCATACAAGCGTGCGGGAAAGAAGATGGTGACTCGGCGGAGGAAGATTGCGTAAAAGGCCGTTTATGCAAAGTGTTGAACATATCATTTCACTGTTGATCGTTTTTTGAGCTTTGCTTTGTGAAAGCCTGAATTGGTACACTTTCCTGAGGACAAGAAGTCGAGATGAGTGAGCGGCTGATGTTAGCACATAGGAAGTCCTGCATTGTTCTCACGCAACGGTCGACTCCTTCAGATGACATGAACTCAAATTCCATGTCATCGATATGTCCGATATGTTTGCACCAACTGCCACCAAGACCACTTAGTTTCATTTGCAGCAATTTTTCGGCAGAGTGGAGGCACTGGCGGAGTGCTTCTCTACAGTTGCCCAGAGTTCAGGGTGACTGCGCTTCCCGAAAGCCGTGACAAAAACTATTCCTTGCTGATTGGTTTGTTGCTGGTTGACACCTGCATCTACAGTCAACAGTGTTTGGAATTGGCCAGACTGAGCCCACCACCACACTTTGCTGCTTTCTTGATCGTGCCAAGCTTCTTGCACACAGGGCTGGATACGACATATCCATCCTTTGATACCTTCTGGGACTGACATGACAAGAAGGTCCATCTACTTGGCAAGGTATTGTGCAGCCCACTATCCAGTGGGAAGAGCTGGGCTCCTGATGTTTGCCTCAAAGTCAGTCACTTTTAAGTGCATCGGATTCATCACATCATGAGACAAGAGCTCGCTTTTCTAAATGCAGGAAGCTGAGGACCTAGTAACAAGAAGCCCCTAGTAGCTCCTGGCATTACTACTAGGAACAAGGACGCTACTAGTAACAAAGGGCATCGCTACTAGTTGCAAGAAGCTACTAGTTAGTTATTCCTACTTGCCTTGTGATTCTAAATGCATGGCGTGAGATGGACAGGCTCGGTTCATCCCAGTCAGGTCTAACCAGAAACGGTGTTTGTCTTGTGATTGCTGTGGCAGGTGAGGCAACAGATTCATTCATTTTTTTGTCCCTTTTTCAATTGGGAACCTGATAAAGCATGAAAGCTTCAGATCTTGCAATCCACCTATTGAAATCTAAGTAGACAGACCAATGCTTGGGTCTTGATTTGCAGAAGGGATGCTGTAGCGGTAAGTTGGATGTAACTTGGCCAGGATTGCACAGGGCGCTTCCTGCGCAAAGAGATGACTTGGAGCGGCGTTTGATTCTCAAAGGAAAGTCAATCAAGGAATCGAGGTGCTCCTTTCATGGCGTGTCAGGGCATGTGAGCTTGTACCACATTCTTGATGCGCAAAAGTGTATCCATTTGTGCTCTTTGAGCTGAAGCATCATGTCTTCAATCTTTCTTTCTTTGTTGGTTCTTTTCAAGGTGCTTTGGCGATGCCCTGTTTTTGATTCGAAATGGGGCTGTCAAAGCCTCAGCTGACAGGTTTTCAATCGACTCCACAAAATTGTGACATTCAATGCGGGTGACACTCAGTCACTGAGTCACTCAGTTTGTATTTGTATTTTTTGTCCAATCGACATGAATAACAACATGAATTCTTGCTTTGATCACTTCATGTCGTTAGATCATCTTAATCATCTCAGGTACGATGTACGGAGGCTGTCATAAGGGTTCTACATTGTTCTATTTGCCGATCAGTTCTTCTACAACTTCGTGAGCAGTATATCATGCCTTTGGATTTTGTCATGAAGCAGAAGTATTGTTTGGCTCTGTCACATTCTTGGCCAAAGCAATGCAACATTGTATCTTGTATTCCTATCGACATGTTCAAGTGTGGCCGAAAGGACATTGCGGTTGTAGAAACCTGGGAATCAAGTCGACAGTGAAAGCTTGGGAACATCGCCAGAGAACACTTTGGACTTTCTGTTTGGGCCCAGGTCGGCCTGCAGCGTTTGGAGCCAGTCGCACCAGACAGAGTGAGATCTTGCAGTTCGGTTGCCCAAGGTCTCCAGAAACACACATTCATATAACGATATGATACCTAAAGGATTCTCTATCATATATCATCAAAGGGTTTTTTGTTTGAAAGCCCTCTTGCTGATAGTAGGTACGAGCATAGTCAATAAGTAGTATATAAGTAGTAAAGAATTGGTGAATGAAAAGTGTTCGCATTGTACCAGCTTTCAGCTTTGCGCGTATTTCTCAGCATGTGGCCATCCTCTCTCAAGCCAATGCGCGCGGGACCCGGGCAGGGCACGAGCCTGGGTGTCAGAGGCATAGACAAGATGATGAATGGACGTATTCTCTTTTAGTGAATTGTTGCTTTTCTGGTGCAAGACAGACTGTTTTAGAACTATTGCCTTCCATAGGCTTTGTATGATTTTGTCCTGCATGCTTGTTCTTCCTCGACCATTTTGCAGGCCATGAACTCTGATGATGAAGTAGAAGAAACTGAGTTTCTTGACGATGCAGAGGCTGCAGTCAAAGCTTGAACCTCTGAATCTGTGGGGCAGCTGCTGCAGTTAAATGTGCATGATGACTATTGGAGTAACCAGCCGCCTGACAAGGATCTTGAGAGCACCATGTGGAAGCGAATAGTGCAGATCATTTCAATGACAGGACGCCGTCATACCAGAGGATGGGGAAGAAGGATCAGAGGGCATCCCAAACGAATTGTTGGACGATGAGATCATTGACATCGGGGCTCTTGCCGAAGTGCAAGACAGGGTCTTTGAGGAGAGGGTGGAGAATATTTTTGATGACAGTGCTGTGCTGTTGCATCCATTCCATCCTTAATTGCTCGATGCAAGCGCCCGCCATTTGTAGGAGATTTCGCTTCCGGAAGATGTGATCTCGGAGGCCGTCAAGGGGGGGAGGCTGTGCATGTGTCAATCATTGTCAATCTAGGCTCAGCCGGCAAACTGAAAGGCTCACGCCTTTTCATGTTTTTAATTATCGGAGGTCTTTCATGTTTATGTTCAGGCCTTTCCTGCAATGCTATTGCTATTAGGTTGGAGGCCATCGCTTCTGTTTATGTTCAAGCCTTTCATGCCGCTACTGTAGACTCTGATACTTTTGGTGCTTCCGAGCCAATTGGCCAGCAAAATGAGTATCCAGCAAAGTGCACGAGTTGCTTGTTATGTTTGGCAGATGTCGAGCAAGGAAACGCTTGGCAAACTTGAACCAAACCAAAGCCGCTGTTTCGTAAGAAAGTAGGAAGACTGCGGAAGACTCCGCAACTTGTGCCCAGTGTTGGGTGATTGTGCACATGCTACTTTTGTAGGCTTGCCATGGGACAGCTGTCGATGTGCGCCGCCACTTACGTTTTTGCTTCATTTATAGGAATCAGACAGGCTGAGTAGTTGTTTGACCTGCTCCGCTGCCCCAATGGTGCTGAAGGATTCTCGACGCCTCAAACGTGCTATGGAAAGAGCACAATAGCCAAACGCAAATGCAAGATATGACACAGAAGGACCCGTCCGAGAAAAGCAATCAAACGCTTGAAACATGGTGCTTGTTTTGTTTGTTTGTTTGTTTGTTTGCATTTGTTACTCGTAAGATCTACTTTTTGTAGAATCGCGTTTGAATCTATTTCATGTTGGTTCGATATTTCTAATCTGGCATGAAGGGGACCTGGCTCAGGGGTTTGGGGTACCTGTATTTTAGCTGCTTCGTTAGCATACACCTTTTGGCATTTTTTTGGCATTTGTTCTTTGAAGACACATGTTTGTCTGTGTTTTGAAACTTCAATCAATCTTGGCTTACAGGCCCTGTTAACTAAATAATTTGGACAATGTAAAACACAACATCACACCATGTGGGTTTGGAGGATGCACGGACTGGCGTCTCATGGGCTTGCCGATGACAAGTTCTGCCATGCAGTTGCTAGATTTCAATATGTTTTCTTCCCCGTGTGACGGTGTAATTTATGCTTTGAAGTGCTGTGTCGCCAGGCGCAGGCTGGCTGGAATTCCTTTATCCAGCTGGCAGCTTCCAGGGATGCAGCAGGCCACAGTGCTGGCAATCGAAGAATCAACCTGAGCAAGAGGGTGCAATTGCTAAAGAGCTCAAACCCTGCGGACAAGATCTCTGTGTCAACGTATTTTTTGCATACATGTCCAGGGAGGATATTAATCTGAAGTAACTTCAGGCGAGGCCATCTATTCTGCACTTTTTGACGCAGCCCCGAGCCTCCAGAGCCTCTTCAAGACTCCGAGGAGAGGAGCAGCTCAAGTTGTTGAAAGCAGTAGCAAGAACGAACAAGAATTTATGAAGACCGTACAATGAAACTGGGAAGTGATCAACAGAACTGTTGAATGCCAGGCTTAATCACCACCGGAGATTGCCGATGGTTTTAGAGCAACCATTGCTTGCAAGACACTGTGGTGTGCATTGCTCGGAAGGTCTGTTATGGCGATGCGCTTCATGAATGGACTCACTGGTATCATCAACTCCTTGAACAACCCTCATGGGCTGAAAACCATGGTGGAGACCCTGGGTTTTCAACATCTGGATTTGGCACCCTGGCAGAGTTTTGCGAGTGCATGGTCCATCACAAAAAGTGAATTCTTGTTGGCTTAGGATGTGACGGTGCCCAGAGTAGCAATCTTTCGTGATGCCATTGTCGACCTCTTTGATATGGAATTGGGCACAAGGCCAGAAATTCTAGTCGATCTGCGACAACAATGGAGAGACTCAAGCAGGATATTCTCTTAGGCAAAGAAGGTTCTCTCCTGAAAGATGAGAAATGAAACGCAATGCAAGCGTTCAAGTCCTCGGTCCACAGGTTCACTTCCAAGATGAGAGCCGGGTTTTGTGCGATCATGAACTATGTGGGTGGAGCCATTATTTATATCCGTGTCTTTGATGTGAAATTAGCCACGGCACATTATCCGCTTTCAGCCTGTCGGCATCAATTTGCCAATTTGATGAGGCAGAGAGTATGCAGGCCGAATAAAAACTCTTACATCCAGCTGGAGAACTGCCTGCAACAAGGCACCAAATACTGCTTTGTTTGGAAAATTTGGCTTTGTTCCAAAGTTGGGAAACAGACATGAATCGTAAGCCAAACAGAGGCAGGGCGCCGGGTTCTGTAAATGAATGATACTTCCACGCCCGAATGCAGGGTGCCAGCGACTTGAAGGCCGGGAGTCAGCAACGATTTGTCAGAGTTGAGAGGAGGTGCTTGGTGCTCCAGGTAAAGCTGAGAGTTCTTGTGGAGATACTGTAAGTAGATCGGACAGATCAGCAGAAATCAATACAAACCACGCTTGATCGTAAAGTGCTCCTAGTCTTTGGGCCATTTGGGTCGTCAGGGTGCATAAGGTTTTGTGCACCTTCTAGCCTTCGCTTGCGCTGTTTGAACATGTGTGGTGGAAGGATGCCATGTTGGACTCAAATCAGGAAGGAGGCCAGTGCAGTGGATTGATTTGAGTCATATTGCCATTGTTTGAGTTACTTTCCTGCACCGAACAGGAAATCATGATGGGTGACCCATGGCAAAAACGATCAGATAGCTTTCAACGACATCACTGACAATATGACTTGCAGGCGATGACAAGGCAGAGACGGATGCCAAGCAAGATACCAAAGCGGCAAGCGATTCTAAAGACGAGTCGAAAGACAAGACCGCACCAAAACCAGGCCCTTCGGATTGAAGTTACAATGCAGCATACTTTCAAGTTGGGTTCCAAAGAGAGTCTGGGATTGCCCTGGTTGTGTGATGAAAACACTGCTTGCCTCTTCAATTCTCGCTTCAGGTGGAGAGTCGTTGATATCCAAGCCGCGTGGTTACATGTGCATGATGTGCAGCCTATTGTTCTTCACCTTATTTCGGTGTTGGATTACAGATTCCGTTGAATCGAAAATGCTCTTCGCGAGAAACCTCATGCCATTTTGCTCCCTGTGTCAGCTGATTTTGACAAGCCTAGGATTCAAACTCAGATGCAGATGCAGGTGCCGGCCACTGAGCATTCCCAGATCATCTTCATGATGCAAAAATGACGACTCTAAGTGATCCGTTGCCACTCTGGATTTGGCACCTATGTAGACCCACGTTGCTGGGTTTTGAGCAATTTGATTTGTTCCGGCGGCTCAGGCCGAAAACATTCAATGAGATGTTCCTTTTCAATGCAGCTGTCATGGGATTTGGCAATAGCGCCTGGATGCACCTGGTGCTGGAACAGTGCCTTGCTCCTTTGAGCAGCTGTGCTTGTTTCTCCTGAGCTATGCACTTCCGGCCATTCTTCTTTTTTGTGGGACTGGACAGGTTCACACAGTTGCAGACATGTAGCGGCTACGCTACTGTATTGTATGCGGCCCGCAAGGTTTGACGCTATGGTCATGAATGTGGCGAACTCTTATAGGCTTCAGGCAACATTGAGTCCGAGAGCTTTGAGTGCTTGCTTGGCTCCACAGTTCTTCTTTCTCTCAATATTGGACATACTGAAGTACACACACACACTCTCACTCCCACACACTTATAGAAATGCGTACTGACTTGAAAGCGGTTGCCACACGCCAACCTGGGTTGCCAAATCCTGAACAGTTCAGGTAAAACCCAAAGGAACCCTGGGGTCTTCAAACGGAAAGGAAGCCCAAAGCTCAAGCCAGAAACGACGATCCCGGATCGACCAAGGTATACCAAGGTGACGACGTTCGATGACTGCAGAATGCATTAACACTTTACAGCACCTGAGAAACCTGCAAACAGCCTGGGCCAGGGCGGACCGCTGGAGTCATTGTGTTCGAAGCAAGCACGCTGGGATGATCAGTCCCAGTATCACCCGGAAAGCGAGAGTGTCTTCGTTGGTGGCAGACTCTCGTTCCTGCTGCCACCCCCTGCAAATTTGAAACCAATCATCCGAAAGGACCCCTATGACTCCAAGGGGTACACACACTCTGACACTGGTTTTCAGTTAACTCAATTGCCACGATGGGAAGGATGGCGATGGAACAGTATGGCGAAAAGTCCAAGAAATTGTAGGTGT